CGAGTGGGATATAAGTGAATTATGGGGGTGGTTTTCCCCATACTGCTATCATGGTAGTGAGTGAGTCTCACGAGATGTGATGGTTTTATTGGAGTTTTCCCTTCTTGCTTTGTTCTCAATTCTCTCTTGTCTGCCACCATGTAAGACATGTAAGCCATTCCTTTCACCTTCTGCTATGATCGTGAGGCCTCCCTAGCCATGTGAAACTGTGAGTCTATCAAACCTCTTTTTCTTTATAAATTACCCAGTCTTGGGTATGTCTTTATCATCAGTGTGAAAATGGACTGATACAATTGCTAAGTCCCTCTTTATGCTATTCTCTAAGTGCTGTAAAGATTAGGCCCGTGTGCCATACTCCAAATCCATTCCCTTGTTAGGCAGCTAATTTCATCTATGTTGCTGGTTACAGCCCTTTAGGCAGCAGGTTGTTGGCAAATGTTTAACAGCTGGTACTGTTAAAAAAAAAAAAAAAAAAACAAGAACAGAAACCCGGATTTGTAGGCTTTGCTGATTTTTGTGGTGGAAATACTCCCAACATGGCTGATTTCATTGTGAGCATCAAGCATGATGTTGTAGAACTTGGATATGGGAAGAGATGCAGACAATCAGCTCGCAAAGTATGTATTCCTTTTACACAAGGGGTTCTCAAAGTGTAGTCCCTGGAGTACAAGATATCCTGGAAACTTGTTAAAAATGCAAAATTTCAGGCCTAGCTAAGACCTACAGAATCAGAAACTAGGAGTGGTGCCCAACAACCTGTATTTTAACATATCTTTCAGGTGATTCCAACACAGACTTTTGAAAACAACCATTCTACACTACTGCCTGTATGCTTGATGCTGTTAATAGCAGGTATGTCTACAAGAAGCCATGATCTTCTATTCGGATGTAAGAGATAAGACGAGAAAATGTGCATACTACTCTATTTCTACTGCTAAAAGAATAATTACTACATCTTGAGTTTTCTTAAACACACTTCAAGCTATGTTAACCAGTGTCTTTTAACTTTGAACATAGTTGGCTGTGTTTTCAAAGAGGCTGTCTGCTTTGGGAAATGACATTAGTTTGAATTTAAAGAAAGAAGCACATATTTTTTATTAATAACTTTTGTAAAAAATATTTCCCCTTATCTAGATTAAAAGAAAGTCTTTTTGAAGGGCAACAAATGACCAGTCTAGACATAATTTCATAAAATGATTCTCTTCATACTGATTTATGTGAAACAATAGTTGACATATAAAATAATTTTTTTAACCAAAAATATCCTATAGAAATAACAACATATTATTACTTTCCCCTCATTTTATCAGATTTCATTTTGCTAAAATAAAATCAATTTTCTTCAATGTGGAGAATTAACCAGGCAATTGAAATGATGCACCAGGCCAGGCGCAGTGGCTCAAGCCTGTAATCCCAGCACTTTGGGAGACTGAGACGGGCGGATCACAAGGTCAGGAGATCAAGACCATTCTGGCTAACACGGTGAAACCCCGTCTCTACTAAAAAAAATACAAAACACTAGCCAGGCGAGGTGGCGGGCGCCTGTAGTCCCAGCTACTTGGGAGGCTGAGGCAGGAGAATGGCATGAACCCAGGAGGCGGAGCTTGCAGTAAGCTGAGATCCGGCCACTAGTGGCACTCCAGCCTGGGCGACAGAGCGAGACTCCGTCTCAAAAAAAAAAAAAAAAAAAAAGATGCACCTGAGGTATAAAATTATTTCCAAGTGCAAGACCCAACAATAATATACTAAATAATGCAAAATTTAGAAAACAATGTTCTACCAAAGTAAATTTTATATAACATAGAATTATGACAATAAAACTGAACTTAAGTGGAAACAAATCAAAATTTGAAAATGTACTTCACCCAGACAGAATTTTATTAGCCACTTATGGGACAGCTGATTGCAACACTGTTGTTGATAGATTTTACTACAGGGGATGGAGAAGTACTATCTTTCATCAAAGATTTTACACTGTAGTAAAGGCCTGGCCCAGGACAGAGGTTACCTTGCTTGGCATTTTCTGGCATTTGAAAAAAGGTCAAAAAATTAGCCGTATCATAGTTAAGAGTTAGGAAAAACTGCAAATTGAAGGTAAAGGAAAGGAGAGGATTAAGAGTAGATCCATTGCACCTGTGATGCATTTCGATGCCAGAAGGAATGCGATGGGAACACAGGTTTGGGTGAAGCAAATGAAATAAACTCAGTTTTGAACATCCTGAATTTGTGATACCAGTAGCCATCATTGTTTACGGTTTACCAAACATCATTGCAAATATTTTACATTTATCATGTCATACAATTTTTACCATAATCTCACTAAAAGGAGACTATTATTTGTTATCCCCATTTGCCAGATGAGGCCCAAGGAGCTGAAGCAATCTGTCTAAGACGCACAGTTAGTTGATAACAGAGCCGGACTGGAATCAAGCCAGACTATCTCCAGAGCAGCTGCTATTTCTATTATTTCAATTTGATTTTTGAGTGGTAATGACATTGAAATGGCTCAAAAATCAAATGGATATAAAATGGTATTCATGCAGAAGTCTTGTTTCTATTTCTTCTTGTCTATGTCTAGTTTTTCTTTGTGCAAATACATGAAATTATAAGTGCTCATATTTATCTCCTTTGATACTTGTTCTTCCTTCCATTTCCTTCCTGTCTTCCTTCTTTTTTCTTCATTGCTTCCTTCCTTTCCTCCTTTTTACTTATATTAATTTTCTTAATGTAAACATAACATTCTATATTTAATATATTAATAAAATATACACATCTATATATCTGAATTCTTGGTAATTATTGCCTCTTATTAAAAAATAAGGTCATAGTTTTTCTTGATTGGAAAATCAAGAAAATTTTTTGGTGATAAGCCAAAAGGCAATAATTAAATTAAAGCTATATTTGCTCTAGGCCTCACATTTTGTATCTCTATTAGATGATCTGCCAGCAGAAACATAGGCTTGTAGCTCCTAATAAAGAATATGCAACATAACAGTCCTTTGATAAATGTCATAAGATACATTCCATTCTTTATTAGGTGAAATGGCAATGAGCATAAACTCAAAAAAAACTAGTGATGGTAGGTCCTTGTTTGGATGTAATCACTTGGGCTTCTACAAAGTATTTAGAAATATTTTGGCATATGTGATATGAATCTAGCTTTAATAAGCCAAACCAAAAACCTTTACTATGGCTTCTGAGAGTTCTGTGCTGCGTCATTACATAAAATAAATTAAAAAATAAATAAAACAATGAACCACAAATTTCTGAAATCTTTCTATGGGCCGAAACACATTGAGGCAAGAAAATTTAAGGCCTCATAATATCTAAAATCTTGGCACTAATTCATCACCATTTGGAGATAAAATAAGTATTGTATTCAACTTGGAAATCAACAATTATGTGTTTGTTTCCATGCTCCAAATATTCACAAGTGGTGGATATCAAATTCCATTCATGGCTACAAGTGGCATGTACTTTCCCAGAACTACTATGAAGCATCAAATAAGATGTGAAGTCTTTTGAAGCACATTGATACATACATATGAGAGTACCAATAACATGCAGGCCAGTGTCTCCACTTTACGTCATAATCAATGCCTATTTATTTGTTGCCAAGTGTGTTTGACCTACAGATATGTTTTGTTCATCATATATAGTATTAAAAATGCACACGGATATCTAAAGGAGAGAAAATTTATATTAAAAACCCCCCAGATTTCTGCCTTTTTCCTGAAAAACCAAGAGTCTGGCAAAACCTAAGTCCATATTTTCCCCACGGAGAACTGAGTAGATGCAATCCTGTTTTGACAAATAGTTACTATTGGTTCATTCCAGTCACAACCACTTATTTTATATTGCCAACATCAAGGCTATTTATAATAAAATAATACTTATGTAAAAAATTAGATCTTTTACAGAATAAAAGGGTGAGAGCATATTATTTTCTTACACTTGAACTGTTTAATCATTTATGATACTTATCTGGAAAAACTGACTACTTAGGAGTTTGTGGCCCCTTCTCTAAAGGGTGAATTTCTACATGTGAAAAAATTAACTAGCTAAATAGTCTGCAGGATGTTAGGGAATTGGTGTTGGGTTCCAACAGAGGGGTTCTGATAGTCTTATGCAATAAGGACTAAAAACTATACACCACAACCACCACCCATTTCACATCTCCAGTATATTATTAATATCATTAATCACTAGAAAACTTCCATAATGAATGGTCAAGATTCCCTATGACAACACTGTATGAATCCATTTGCTTATTCTGTGTAAGTTCCAAATGAGCCAGGGCTTTGTTCCTTAAAGCTTGGGATAGGTCCGGCACATAGTAAGCGCTCAATATATCTGTGAGGTATGAATGGCAGCCTGAAGTCACTCACAGTGCTGGATATCTTCATTTGATTCTCTGGACCTCCCTTCCAACTTTCTTTACCCAACTCTGAGTCCTGGGAGGCTCATGTGCAAGCTACATTACTAGAGTCTATAGATTCCTTCTTTCCCGGCATGCAGTGTGGCCAGTGGGGAACACAGACAGGAGATTGTTGGGAGGAAAGAGAGTGAGGTTGTGTATTTCAAAAGCTGGTTGTTTCCGTGGGAGCTTACTGCAAACTTCTAGTAAAGGTCCCAGCTTCTGGCAGGCAAACCTCTCTACAAAGCCTTTACAGAGCGTGAGTTTCCATAACCGCTCCCTCCTCTTGATCCTTCAGGTGGATGGGTAGCAACACTTCCCTGCATCCCTTGTTTCCAGCTCCAGGTTACTGTACTATCCCAGTCACCTCTTTGGACATAGCAGTCCCCTTACAAATCCCTCCTCAAACTCTCCAGTTTGAGCATGCCCTCCGTTCCTGCCGGGTTTCTCACTAATACCCTCATCCTAAGACCTGCTGGAGCCAACTTAGTCTCTCTCCTCCCCATAACAAAATAATAGAGGAGACGCAGTTCTTCATTAAGCAATGTTTTTTCACCTTTACCCGTAACTGAGAGATCTTCACCTGTAAATGGCAGAAGCCGGGTGGGAGCCGGTGTCGTAGCTGGCACGAACACGCCCCCGATAGAGTTCTACCGCGATATGGTCCTTGTCACCCTTATACAGGAGGATGCCGCTGTCTTCATCTGTGGCAATCTAGTAGAAAGTAACCCTGGCATTACTAGGATGTGTAGGCAACCAGACGTATTTCATCAGAAAGAGACTGCTAAGTGAGGTGAAGAGGTTTTACTCTGGTTTAGGTTTTCCAGATGGCTATGAGAAAATAATGCTGAAATTGTTACTTGAAAGGTGACTTGTTCTTAAATTGCTTTGTTGCAAATAAATCCATAAAGAAACTTAAAAAGAACAAGAAGAAATCCGCAAGTAAACATGTTGGATGTGCTTAGAACTTTCTTTGCTGGAGATTTTTGCTAAACCACTCCTTTTGCTCCTGTTATAAGCTTTATTTATAGCATCTGTGAAAAATGACCACATTGTCAAAGATGGATTTTTATATCCCATATTAAAAAAAAAAACACAAATTTTTCACAGTTATGCCATGTGGAGGGGGAAGTCTTTGTTTTTATCTTGCTCTTTGGCCCATTTTGGCTTTTAAAGGATTAATTAAGTTAAGACTTAAGCCCCAACATCACTGTGTGGTTCTCAAAACAATTTGGTGGGGCAAACACTGGAAGGCAGGGACTCATGCCTTCCAGGATTCTCTTCTTCCTGACTTCAGAAGGACCCCCTGTCCCTCACTAGAGTATCAGGGTAAACCAAAACAGGGGTGGCATTTACAGGAAGCTGACTAAAGTTATTTGAATTGAAAATATATTAAATGATTTTGCTTATCAGATAAAACAAATATGTAGACCTAATTTGTCCCATGTACACTATATTTATTATCCTTAATCTAGTGCAGCTTTTTCGATAGGGATCTGAATGACTTGCTCAAAGGTACACAATGAGTTGGTGGAAAGACTTAAAATTTGAGTTTGTTAATTTCATGTCAAGTCTTCAAAGTTCTGGGTGAAGAGTTAAAAGGTGCTGGTTGGCCAAGCGCGGTGGCTCACGCCTGTAATCCCAGCACTTTGGAACGCTGAGGTGGGTAGATCACATGAGTTTAGGAGTTCGAGACCATCCTGGCCAACATGGGGAAACTCTGTCTCTACTAAAAAATACAAAAAAATTAGCCAGACATGGTGGTGCACGCCTGTCATCCCAGCTACTCGGGAGGCTGAGGCAGGAGAATCGCTTGAACCTGGGGGTCGGAGGTTGCAGTGAGCCGATATCGTGCCACTGAACTCCAGCCTAGGTGACAGAGCAAGACTCCATCCCCCCCACCAAAAAAAAAAAAAAAAAAAGTGCTGGTGGTTGAATCCAGGTGTTCTTTCTTGACTGCACCCCTCCTAGCTGCAGATTCCCTAAGAAAAGCCTCCCCCTGTGCAGAGGCTGAACTGCAGAGCCATAAAAGCAAATGAATAAAATGTTTTTATCTGAGCACAAAACAAAGAGACATATTTTTTTATTACTGTCTGCTTATCAAGTAATGAATAAATAAAAATATTTGGTTTTCATTTTGTCTTGAAAATACAAATGTGAAAGAGAATAATTACTAACGCTGTCCACACAAGGAGCATTTTCTGTTTTTAACTGTCTATGTAAGATATACTGTCAATCATTCACAAGCTACCACAAATGTTTATTCTCTGAAGTTGAATTTTCAGATCAGATCAACTCTCCATAGAGAGAGATCTCTTACCTGAAGTGTGATGTTCGTCTGAGGCCGAACCTTGGCCGAAGGAATCTGAAGATAAGACTCTTTGTTTATGAAATTCACACTGACCAATTTTTCACACTTTTCTCCCTGATAGCCAGGCAAACACTGACATATTGGCTCATTTATTCTGACAATGCACTGAGCTCCATTCTGACAATCAAAATTATCACAGGGGCTGGTACGAGGGAGGACCATGGGCGGAGAAAACTCACAGAACAAGCCACTGAAGAAGAAGGAGAAAAAAAATATGTTAATACGATTTTACTTAATTGCCAATCTGAATTGAGAGCTGTATGACCTAACTGTATACTATATATGTGCACTTCCTTGTTTTTCCAGTTTTCAAGTATTCTTAACTATTAATCAAAATCATCACTGTGCTGTTCAATAGATATTCCAAACTTACTCATCCTGTCTAAATGACTCTCTGGACCCTTTGACCAACATCTCCCCAAATACCATCCCTCTGTCCTCCTCCCTGGTAATCCTCATTCTACTCTTTGCTTCTATAATGTCTACTTTTCTTGTCTTAAAATTTTTTTATTTTAATTTTTATGGGTACCTAGTAAGTGTATATATTTATGGGGTACATGAGGTATTTTGATACAGGCATGTAATGCATAATAATCACATCATGTAAAACGGGGTATCCATCCCCTCAAGTATTTATCCTTGCGTTACAAACAATCCAGTTATACTCTTTTAGTTATTTTAAGATGTACACTTACGCTATTACTGACTATAGTCACCTTGTTGTGCTAGGTCTTATTGAACACTAGGTCTTACTCATTTCTGCTTTTACCTGTAACCTTCAGGGCATATGCACGTATAGCCGTTCACTGCATCCGTGCAGTGGGCTCCGTTTTTACACTTGTTGTCTTGGCAGTCATCAAAATCAATGTCGCAGTGCTCACCTATGTACCCTGGTGTGCAGTCACATCTGTTGGAACAAGCAGGTAATGGTTTCAAACCCAACTGAGCCAAAATAAGTAAACAATGCATTTTATCTAGACACATGGCACCATCTTTAAAATACTTATTTAGAATAGGCTCATAGAGCCCCCACGTTAATGGATACCTAGAAAATTGAACTGTTCTGCAGTATATTCCATGTTCTATCACTGTGATCTACCACAGAAATAGTGATTTTTATCTCCTTGATGATAGTGAATATCCACAGTCCAAATAACAACAGGATAATTGTAGCAGGGTCACTCCCTCCCACTCCCTCTCCTCCCTCTTCCATCCTTTCTTTCTCCCCATTTTGTTTGCTTACGGTGCCTTATATTTTCAGTTTGGCCTAATTCATTTGCTCATTGAGATTATAAAACTGCTATGTTGTAAAATGTACTGGGAATATTAAACATATTTTAAAACATGATTAACATTTTTAATTTTACAATAGAGACTAGACACATCAGAACAAGGTATTATTTTAAGTAAAGCAAATATATTAATATTAAATACCCTAATTCACGATGAATCCAGATACTCATTATGGAAGAACAGGACTGATATAATGGGTTAGGATAGAAGAACTGGTAGAAAATTCACGGGGCTGATCCCATGGACAGTTTTCAGCCTGTTCACCATGGTGGTAAAGGGTCTTGGCTGCATTGATGGTGAAGAACCGGGAGTAATAATACAGCTGACACTCACCGAGCACTTCCTCTGGCCCTGCTCTAACCATGTGGCATCTATGGATTCACTGAAACCTCTCCACAGTCCTGTGACATTAGTGGTATTATTTCGTCCGCTCTACAGGTGAGGAGACTAAGGAACAAAGAGGTGACGCACTTTGCCCCCAAACACTCAACTTCTAAGTGCCACAGCCAGGAATCGAACTCAAACAATCTGACAAGAAAGCTTGTATCTCTAACCACTGCACTATGCTGTTGGATAATTAATTCCAGAGGCTCCCTTTAAACCTGTACTTCTCCAGTGCTGACCACTGGGATCTCTAGTTATGACACCAAGGATTCAGGACTTTATAGCTGCATGGAGAAAGGCAGTGTGGCACGTGCAGCAGTTTTCAAACTGCATTGTGGACCTACAGGGGACCATGGAATCCCTACAGGTATGGCCATCAATGAGGAGGGGGCTTCTGGAAGCCTCCTTCTACCCTCCACCTTTTCCTCAACACTCTCTTGTTGTGATTTATTAGGCTTACACATTGGCTTCCAAGAGTGTTTTTGATTTAAGAGAGGGTTCACTGATTTTATATATATATATGCACACATATACACACACATACATATACATATATATACACATATATACACATAACGGCAAAGCCTGAATTCTTCACAGCTAAGTTAGTTTCCTCATATATACACACATATATACACATGTACATATACACACACACACACGTGTATGTGTATACACGTGTACACGTATATGTGTGTATATATGTACGTGTATATATGTATACACACATATACACATGTACATATACACACATACATACATGTGTATGTGTATACATGTGTACATGTATATGTGTGTATATATGTACATGTGTATATATGTATACACAAATATACACACACATATGTATGTGTGTATATATGTATATGTGTATGTATATGTGTATATATATGAGTATATATATATGTGTATATATGAGAAAACCAAAACTTAGCTCTGCAGAATTCAGGTTTTGCAGAATTCAGGCTTTACAGAACTGCATTTGTACCCTGGCTTCATTCTTAATTGTACCTTATGAACTTTATTTTATTCCAGATTTATTAAGGTATAATTGAAAAATAAAATCTTTATGTTTTAAAGATGTACATGGTGATGTTTTATACATATATACATTGTGAAATAATTACTACAGTCAAGCTAATTAACATATCTATCACCTCCCATAGTTACCCTTTTCCTTTTGTGGTGAAAATATTTCAGATCTGCTTTGTGGGCAAATTTCAAGTATATAATACAGTATTATTAACTATAGTGACCATGCTGTGATATTAGGTCTCTAGAACTTATTATTCATCTTGTAACTGAAAATTTGTGCCACTGACCAACATCCTCCCATTTTCCCCACCCCAATTCCTGGTAACCACCCTTCTACTCTCTTTTTCTGTAAGTTTGACTTTTTAAAATTCCACACATAAGTGAGATCATCCGGTATTTGTCTTACTATGTCTGGCTTATTTCACTTAGCATAAAGTATATATAATATTGACTAAATTACTTAATCTCTGTAAGTGTTCTTTTCCTCATCTTTAACATGTATATAATTCCACCTCACAGGTTTATTTAAAGATTAAACACAACTATCTGTAAATTAATTAGTATAGTTTTTATATATAATGCATGTTCTATAAATGGCTGGTTTTTAAAATAATTCTCTATATACATCTTTGTAATTCTATAAAAATTTTTATGGTTTAGTCTGTATTAATTATCCACTTTTCTATTTCAAAGCTATTAGGATTTGAAGTAAGGTTAATTAAAAACACCCAAGGGAATGTGGCATTACTGAATGCCAAAGGTTTTGTCTGAAAATGCAAAATCAGGGTTTGAGAGTTGCTGGAGAGCGGACGAATTAAAACAAATGGGAGTATATAGCCTCTAAGAGTAGCAAACAGACTTTCAGCTCTGCATGTATGAATTAAGAAATAAAATGAGCTCACTGCATAAGCATGCTTGCTTTGCAGCCAGTTGGTTTTAATGCTAAATCATAACAAAGCAAAGTAAACAACAAGTCTGAAGTTAAATGGACTCTAAGTGGCCATATACATTCTCAAAGAGATGGACAAGGCCCGAGAAGAGAACTTCCATCAATGTTAATGTGAGCAGAGCCGTTGAAGTGCCAAGCATTAAAAGAAAGAAGAAATGCTTTGAAACACTCTGAATTATTTATCTGAAAAAAGAAATCAAAGTGAAAGATAAGAGAACCACACATCCACCATAGTGGCTGTCTAAGAGCTATTTTATATTCTCTTCTCTCCAAATACTACTTTTCAAGACCATTAGAGCTTGGAGTTACATTATGCCCAACATTTTTGTCTTTCTTTTGCTCCTCAGACTGAGTTTCAAAACAGAAAGAAAAAAATTTAAATAAGAATTCCTTAGTTTGTATTATCAATAAAACCTATCACATTCCTTCAACTCTATTATCTGACAAGGAGGGAGGAAGAAGCAAAGAATACAAAATACACTGTTTAGGAGCCCATAGCTGGCTATGTAAGATGCATGTTTGAAAATACTGGTTATGGCGTATCATAGTCTAAAAATATCTCAAAGCAATTTGGGAGATTTATGAGGTATATAATAAAGCAATAAAAGTAAAACCAGCTCTGTTAGCTTAGTAATAAGAAAATGAAGTTGAAGTAACATAGTATAACTTGTCTAAACAACATTTGTCAGTAGAGATCTTCTTTAGCAGCTTCACATCATTTGATTTTTAAGTCTATTTTCTTTCCGCAGCTACCTTTCCCACAATGTGCAATCATTTGTAAGTCGGGAGTAACAGCACACACACTGACTTAACCTGTTTTCTGCTAACCTACATACACATAGCTATGAAACGAGCTCGCAAATTACAACCGAAAACAGTGGGTTTCCAAATTAGTTAGTCCATAATGCGGCAAAATGCACTTTTAAGGGTGTCTAATCTAGTTGATAATGAGAGGAGATATTTAATTAAGGATTAGTCTTTTTGCAGACAGACTCACTTTCTTTTAATGGTTTCAATTAAGTCTTACTAATACTTTATCTTATACTTACCATGCACAAAGTACTGTGAAATCTGCTCAGCAGATGAGCAGTTCTGGAAAACTTTCCTTACTAGCTAATTTCTCTAAGAAATGATATTTATTATGTAAGTGATGTGTTTTCAATTTGCCAAATTAAATTGTGAGTGTATCATTGATATGAAGACTAAAAACAACTTACCTACAGTGTTTGGTTGAATAAAATATAATGTAAAGTTTTGTATAAAGTGAAAATGGAATAACACTGGGTTTTTGCCTAGGGTTGTAAACTAAAATATAATGCAAAATAGAATCAAATTTATTTTTTCCTTTTTCAAAAAGACATCGTAGGGAATTAGCAGGTGCTGCAACTATACCTACATATTCTAATGCTTGAATTTTAAACCAAATTAAAGCAAAAGCGCACTGTCAAAAGAAAGCTTGAGAATAAATATTTAATTAGATTGATATTTGAAAAGCAGTGGAGATCTGGCGATTCTGACCCCAATCTCCCACTCAACTTAAAATATCTGATGATCTGTTTGGTAAGTACAAATATCTTAGCAATCCAGCTCAAATCCCATCTTCTCTTGTAAAATTCATCCTGACCTGTGTAATTGTTAATTCTCTGAATTCTATGGCAATTGAGCTTGGGTCATTTCACTAAGAAGATGAAATAAGTGAAGGTGAATAGCTATAAAAGACTACAAAATCGTAAGATGGTATTATTACCACGTGCTCTGGCCATGGCAGGCACTCAATAAATATTGCTTGAAGGAACAAATAATGCTGTTTGCTAGCTGTCTGATGAAAGCACAGCTCAACTCCTGTACCCGACTGTGTAATTCCTAAGAATCCAGCCTATTTGCTATACAATACCAGCTGTAATGTTAATAAACTCTGAAACTTCTTATAGGTAACACATAGTAGAAAAATCACCCAACTGGAAAGTATAAATCCTAGCTCTAGCTCTGCCAATAAATAATCTTAAGATCTCTGGACAGTCAACTAACCTCTCTGGGCCATGGTTTTCTCATGTTTAAATGAAGAATTTGGACTAGATGATCTCTAACTACTGCCAGCCCTAACAAGAGAAGTGCTGTTGAAAGACCCTTACAATATTTCCGGATGGCGGCAAAGAAATCACATAATTTGATAGCAAACATATTTCAGGAATATTGCTGGGGAGGCAAAAAGAAGTGATTTTTGAAGTTCTGTGTTCACTTGAGGGAGTACGCTTAGCGGGATTATAATGCTTTGTCACCTCATGCAAAAAACATTTAAGTTGGAAGAGGCACTATCAATAATAACAGCAATCATCACAGGCATAGCCTGGGACTCCCTGGCGCAGCCTGAGATATATGGTCACTCTATCTTTCTCACCTTGGATAGCCAAATTATTGTTTCAGACCGTAACATCTTCAATTACATTAAAATCAAATTCTCTATTTTACCACAGACTTACCTTCAGACAATGAAGCAACTAGAAGATATTACAAATGTCACCAGATGGGCCTTCAAATAAATTCAAGAAAGCATTTTCAAAGGCTGCTCATTGCCATAGGTGACTTCACAAAAAAAATCACAGATGAAAAGGAAACACTTTTTCATTTTTCTTTAGTGTACTAAACAAAAAGTCCGGGGCTGGGCGCCTGTACTCCCAGCACTTTGGGAGGCCGAGGCGGGCGGATCATGAGGTCAGGAGATTGAGACCATCCTGGCTAACACGGTGAAACCCCGTCTCTACTAAAAATATAAAAAATTAGCCGGGCGTGGTGGCGGGCGCCTGTAGTCCCCGCTACTCCGGAGGCTGAGGCAGGAGAATGGCGTGAACCCGGGAGGCGGAGCTTGCAGTGAGCCCAGATCGCACCACTGCACTCCAGTCTGGGCAACAGAGAGAGACTCCATCTCAAAAAAAAAAAAAAAAAAAGGCCATATTGTATATGGACATTTAAAAAACGTCATTGATACTAGCGAATAGGTCCCGTTAATCCCCAGCAGAGGTGTGAAGCTAAGGATGGAAGAGAAGGGTTTCTAAAATAATGCGTCCCCTACTCTGTGAGCAAAAAGGCAGCTTTGGACTTACTTGAATCCCTTTGGAGTTAGGATGCACTTTGAGTCATGCTGGCAGGGGTTCAGGTCCTGGGCACAGAAGTCCAGCTTCTCCTCACACAACTCACCTGCAACATGGCAGACAGTGTTAGCTCATAGAAAAAGGTCAACAGGCTTCCTGCCAGCAGACTGTGTCACTGTCATGGGTCTTAGAGGTTAGGGCAGCTTGTGATTTAAAACGAAACAAAGCAAAAAACCCAAAACAAAAGCCACACGGCATGGAACCAGATGGTCCATTATCCAGTTCTGGGTCTGCTGCTAAGTAGTGTTGTGATTTTGGACAACAGGACTATTGCGATCTGTGACTAATATAAGCCCCTTCAGAATATACTATGGGAATTAGGAAAAGGAAATCTGAATGCTTTTCATTCCTGTTGTTTATTTTGGATTTTTTTTCTTGATATATAGCATGGTTACAAAGGATAAATAAATTGCTAATGATTATTCACAAACTGAACCCACTCAGGTCACCAGCACCCACATCCAGAAACACACCATGTACCAACACCCCAGAAGCCTTCCCCCAGGTCCCTGCAAAGAGGATCACTATCATGACAAGACCATAGGCTAGCGGGGACTGTTTCTGAGCTTGACATAAATGAAATCATTCTATATGTACCCTTTTATGCCTGGCTTATTCTACAGTTTTATGTTTGAAAAAAATATTCTCGAATCTTCATAGTCTCTGGTTTTAAAAGTCTAAAAGAAAAACACTTTGTTTTCTTCTTAGGAATCATTGCCGCAGCTCAACAGAATGCTTCTTAGACTCACATCCTCTGACATAAAAAGAAAAAAGTAAAAGGAGACTCGATCCAGAGAGAGAGAACATAGATTTTTTCCATGAAAGTCACCTAACTCATGAAATAGAACTTCTGTCAACAAATGAGAGCTGAAGGCATAACCACGCAGATTCTAGGTACTCTTTGTTGAATCACATGACTGATAATTTCTTTAGAAAATTTCTTCTGATACCAATAACATGGTTATTATTTCAGATACATTAGACCAAATGTAATTTTCATTTAGAAGACTTTCCCAATTGCTGTGAAAGTATTAAGGTGACTGGAAAGGTATTCAAATACATAATATATATTAACTTATATAATACATTTTAAGTTATTTTTACCTTTTCTACTTTACTTCTACTTTCGAATTGTTTTCTATGCAATAAATAGACAAATAAAGTGACACATCTATAGGCGCTGTTCATTTCCAGGAAACTACTAAAACTGTCATTTGTAACAGCATCGGTAAAAATTTCAGGAGTGTGAACCTTGTCACAGCACCCCTTTGTTACAAGGGGATCCTTTTAAAGTAACACTCAGCTAGTTGGTAGAAATCATTGCTTGACAATTAAATGTGGCATATTATTTAGACTTCAAGGGTCTTTTCCCAGGATGCAAATTAATAAATGTATTCATCTAGTTATTACATCAATCTGGTGCAGGATATTAGTTTTTATCTGTCTCTTACAAAGAACTAATTGCATGGAAAGTCTCATATATTGCTTCTATAAGTTTTCAGGGATCTGAAAGATTTTTAGAAACATGCATGATGAATGATTTTTAAACAGATTTATTTAAAGGCTTGCGATTTCAATTAGTATTACTCTAAGTTGGATACCTTGATGAAATGCGTTCATCATATTTTATCAGCCTACTATGATGAAATCACTTTCAGTTTCTAACCAAATCTATCTGATGGAGATATAGGCTGTTTATAGTAGTATCTATCCAAGACAGTTTGTAAAAACTGATGGAAAGAAGGACCATTTGAGATACATAATAAATGTAATTTTATGTACTTTTTACTTTATGCCTAAATAAGACAGTGTTTTAAAATTATAATAAAGGGACATGTTTTATTCCTTATTTACTCTGATACAATCCAACCCAATCCATCCAATCTAAGTCACAGTCCATAAGGATTTACTACATGATGTTGTGCTAGAGGCCGGGGCTACAAGGATGAATGTAATGGGCTCTGCTCCTAATCAGTTCTCAATCTACCAGCAGAGAAAGTCTTGAGCTAGGGAAAGAACAGAGAAAATGAATTTCATCTCTAAAAAAATAAAACTGAGAGTTGACCCTTGTCTACAAAGAATTACTCTATAGACTTGATAATGGAAAGGAGTGAACAAGGACAAAGTTCCAAGAAACTGTTAGCTAACCAGGTTGTTAAATCTCTAATCAACAGCTTTAGACTAAGCATGCCAACTTGAACATAAAAAACGACATCAATGTCAAGTATTCTTTATCTCTATAAGAGTAGCAAAATAGCAATAATCATTATTGAGATTGTATATGATACTTCTTTGTGACCATTACATAGCTATACACCTGACTTTAGTAACGTAAGTTGATGACTTCAAAAATGATTTGATTTTCAGCCAGGTGCAGTGGCTCACGCCTGTAATCCCAGCACTTAGGAGGCTGAGGCAGGTGGATTGCCTGAGGTCAGGAGTTTGAGACCAGCCTGGCCAACATAGGGAAACCTCGTCTCTACTAAAAATACAAAAATTAGCCAGGTGTGGTGGTGGGCGCCGGTAATCCCAGCTACTAGGGAGGCTGAGGCAGGAGAATTGCTTTAACCTGGGAGATGGAGGTTGCAGTGAGCCAAGATTGTGCCATTGCACTCCAGCCTAGGCAACAAGGGCAATCAAAAAAAAAAAAAAGGTTTGATTTTCTTTCTTATCACCAAAACTTACAATGCTAACAAATATTACAAAAACATTTTCTGCATCCAATTACTGCCTAACTTGCTTTAAAGATGAATCTTCCACCCTACATGCATGTCACCTGGGTCTGTTTACTATTTCCTGAATTTATTTTAACTCCATGCCTGGGCTAACGGTTTCTCCTTTTGCTTTAATAACATTCTTTCACAATTCTGTTGTCATTTTTCTCATCCATTATATGTCCCCTTCTTTACGGAATCACGTCAGATCTTTTCAACTATTTCTTCTCTATCTCTAATTTTATATCGTGTTTGACTGTGCCTGGCTTATGGCATATACATGGTACACATTTGTTTATGTACTTAATGAGCATTTATATGGTTCTTACTACTGTATGCCAGACAGTTTTAAACATTGTATAAATATGCAGTCACTTAATATTCATTATAAGCATATAAGGTAAGGTTTTAGGGTTGCACTGCTATGTATGCATTTTATATTACTGGTGTTTATCTGATTCTCTTTCCTTGACTGTAAAATCACTAAGAGTAGAACTCTTGCCACATTTGCTTTTGTTTTTTTTTCCCACAGTGTGGTATGCTGACATACTCAAATAATAGTTACTAAAAGGAAGAATCATGCTTTAAGGCAAGAGCTCTATTTTGTTGACCTGTAATCAACTCGGGTTTCATTCTAGCCTTTAGAGATTAGTGTAATTTTTTTGCTTAATTACTCACTCGTGATTAGTAATAAACGCTATTCTCTTTAAACATTACTGTGAATTTTCCCTGACTAAATATGAACATGAATGTCTTCATTGGACTGTTTCTCTAATTTTCCTGAATTATATTGAATTCTACTATACTTGAGGGAAGGACAGCTTTCAAAAGAGTGCAACAGTGGTGAGATTCAGGTGCTCAATAAAAGAAGGGAAACTTAGCAAGCTCCTTAGACAAATACTGGACTGCATATCTCCTTCTCAACCAGTAAGAGGAAATTGGACAGCTAAAAGCTGCACTGGTTTTCCAGGAAGAATAGAGATAAAATGACTAACATTAGTCAGCTAATGTATTTTTAGTTACCAATATTGAAAAGTTCTCCCAAAACTCATAGTATTGTGAGGACATGATGCCATTTTTACCTGGTTTTTATTTTTACTGTAAGTTTAGTCAGAGCTAGTACTGAGTTAGTGGAAAAACAATAAAAAAATAGGGCAATTGAGTTTGCTTTTGTGATGGCTCAGGGCCTGAGATAATATTATCAATGGCTGCCTCCCTTCCAGAGATGATAAAGTGTGAGGTGACAGAGAGGAAAACTGGAAATATTCTTTATTTGACTATACAGAGTTAGTGTTGTAATTGATTACCCCATAAGCAGGTCTTAATATGTTTAAACTGACATCAAGAAAGATAAATCTATCCATTGGAGTGGTTTGGGGCAATGTGGTTGAATATAGGTTAAATGTTGGTGCCCATGAGCCTCTCAAGAGATAGGAGCCTAGGCAAGCCTTGACTCCATGATCTGGCTTCAACCCATTCCTCTAAATCCCAGGAAATCCTATTTCTTTATTTTTAGCCGTGGACCCTTAAAACTTCCCAATAGGGTGGAACACAATCATTGCCTGACATTTGTGATTTCACTTTTGATCAGATGAACAAATTAATTTTCCTTATGATTCTAGTTTTCATTTCTTGTTGGTAAGAGGTGAAAACATTCTGAGTGTATGTATATATGTTGGTTGTGTATGTTTTGGAGAGAAAACAAAGAGTGGTCAATCAGGGGGTCTACGGTTACCTCTTCAGGATAAGAGAGGTTAATAAATGATCTACTATAATTGATACAGAGGTTTTTTTTTTTTTGGAGATGGAGTCTTGCTCTGACACCAAGGCTGGAGTGCAGTGGCGTGATCTTGGCTCACTGTAACCTCCGTCTCCCAGGCTAAAGCGATTCTCCTGCCTCAGCCTCTTGAGTAGCTGGGATTATAGGCACGTGCCACCATGCCCAGCTAATTTTGTATTTTAAGTAGAGATGGGGTTTCACCATGTTGGGCAGGCTGGACTCTTGACCTCAAGTGATCATCCCACCTTGGCCTCCCAAAGGGCTGGGATGACAGGTATAGAGTTTTGTCTGTTTCTTAGATCACCTCTTCCTGATTTTGCCTGTCAGTTATACATGGGACACAGCAGGACAAGAAATGACCAAATTCTACAGCACCACTATTACAACTTGTGAAAGAGCATGTCAAAAGTGATACCCACTCTTGTAAATGGGAATGATTTTTCAGACTCACTCTTGAAGAGGAGGTAAGATGCTACTTACTGAATGTCTGTGAATGTATTTCTTCTGAAAAATTGCATGGAGTGGTAATGTATCCATTCACCCTGGCTTGCA